GAACAGGTCTCCAGGCATGCTGTGGTTTACACAGATGCCTCCACCACTGGTGGGGGGGCCACGTACAACGGGCACGCAGTGTCGGGGGTTTGGACGAGACCCCAACTGCACTGGCACATCAACCGCCTAGAGTTGTTAGCAGTTCTCCTTTCCTTGAACGTCTCAGAGGGCGCTTATGAGGCAAGCACGTGCTGGTCCGCACAGACAACACGGTGACCGTTGCGTACATCAACCAACAAGGTGGTCTATGCTCCCGTCACATGTCGGAACTCGCCCTCCACCACCTCCTTTGGAGTCAGAAGCATCTGAGGTCGCTTCGTGCCATTTACATTCCGGGCCTGCACAACCGTGCAGCCAACGAGCTGTCACGAGCTGCACTCCCCGGAGAGTGGAGACTCCATCCCCAGATGGTAAAAAAAAAAATTTAATAAATAAAAATTCCCCAGTGAGCCTTCTCGCACAGACGCTGTGCAAGGTCAGGGAGGATGAGGAGCAGGTCCTGCTTTTGGAGCCGTGTTGGCGCACTCGGACCTGGTTCCCGGAACTAATGCCCCTCATGACAGCCCCTCCCTGGCAGATTCCTCTGAGGAAGGATCTACTGACTCAGAGGCGGGGCACCCTGTGGCACCCGTGTCCAGACCACTGGAAACTTCATGTCTGGTCCCTGGATGGGACGCAGAGTTTCTAGGTGACCTACCCCAGGAGGTAGTTGACACCACTTCGGCAAGATCACTTTCTACGAGACACGCTTACGCCTTGAAATGGAACCTGCTCGTCGAGTGGTGTTATTCTCGCCGAGAAGACCCCCGGAGATGCCCGATCAGGGTCGTGCTTTCCTTTTTTCAGCAAGGGTTGGAGCGAAGGCTGTCTACCTCCACCCTTAAAGTATATGTCACTGTGATTGCTGCTAACCATGACCCCGTGGAAGGGAAATCAATAGGGAAGCATGACCTGGTCATCAGGTTCCTTTGGGGGGTGAGAAGGTTAAATCCTCCCCGGCCCCCCTCTATACTTCATGTCTGGTTCCTGGACGGGACACGGAGGTTCTAGGTGACCTGCCCCAAGAGGTAGTTGACACCATCCCTTCGGCGCGAGCACCGTCTACGAGACACGCTTACGCCTTGAAGTGGAACCTGTTCGCCGAGTGGTGTTCTTCTCACCGAGAAGACCCCCGGAGATGCTTGATCAGGGTCATGCTTTCCTTTATGCAGCAAGGGTTGGAGCGAAGGCTGTCTACCTCCACCCTTAAAGTCTATGTCACTGTGATTGCTGCTAACCATGACCCCGTGGAAGGGAAATCAATAGGGAAGCATGACCTGGTCATCAGGTTCCTTTGGGGGGTGAGAAGGTTAAATCCTCCCCGGCCCCCCTCTATACCCTCTTGGGACCTGTCTCTAGTGATCAAAGCACTACAGCAGGGCCCATTTGGACCTTTGTAGTCAGTTGAGCTGAAGTTTCTAGCAATGAAAACTCTGCTCCTGCTAGCACTGGCCTCCATCAAAAGGGGGTAGGGGACCTGCATGCATTTCGGTCGACGATTCGTGCCTAGAGTTTGGGCTGGCTGACTCCCAGGTAATCCTGAGGCCCCGGCCCGGCTATGTGCCCAAGGTTA